TTTGAAAACTTGGATAATTTTTATACGTCAAACATTTTTAGCTGCTCTCAATTGAACCAGAGACTCTCGCGTTAGCAATTTAACAAGTAACTAGTCTTTGGCTTACACTGAAGAAGTAGAAATGCTAAATACATTATTTAATAAAAATATGGTTCAAAATGACATTTTACTGATATTTTAGTGGCTTATTTTTGCGTTTACGGCTGCTTAATCAAAATTAATTGATCTGTAAAACAATTCATGTCTTCAAATTTCTCCGCAACACTCTGATTTTTACTTCCCGGGCGTAAGCAAAAGCAAAAAGTGCGAAAAATAGGTCTTCTGTCTCCGTCCGTCTGTCTGTCTGTCTGTCTATCTATCTGGCATCTGGCGTCTTTCTTAGGCGGATAATCTCCGAAACTACCGGATCGATTGTTGCCAAATTCTATATGTATATTAGGAATGTCGTGTAACTATGTGTCTAGTGTTGTCCACCAACAATTTGATGACATTAGAATATCGGATCAACATTTTGAGCAGTAAAAGATATTTAAATTTTATAAAATAGTGTGCTCCTGTGCTTGTTTGATTTTGTTTACTATTATCATGACTTGTTCAACCTTTTTGTCATTTCCTTCCTTGCTGTTTTTAATTTACTCTAGACTTCTCAAAAATCCCCTGTAACATAATCAATTATTATTCAAGAAATAAATGTTAATTCCTTTTACGATTATATGGTCAGATCTGACACAAAATATTCAAAGTCATTTTCTTACAATTAAGATAATCAGATTACCGTATCCAACGATTATACGCACATGAATTTGAGCAAATGCTTTCCGTCACTTTTTAATATAAGTAGAATACATTTCTTTTATATTTATTTACTCGGAATACGTATCCTACCATCATATGAATTTTAATATGCACGAAAAAAAAATTAGGGAAAAGATTATTACAGAACTGACACAGAATTGTACTTTCATGCAAACAGCTTCAAAATCTACGAATAGTCTCGTTAAAAAATAAAATAAATTCTAAATAAATCAGACCTTGTACTCATAGACAAAAGATGACACTCGGTTGCTTTGTGCATTTCACCTAGTGTTGTACGACGTAATTTTTAAAAGTATAAATATTTATAGAAACAAACATTTTTTCACGTCAGCAAGAAATGTTTTACATTGGAGACAATATTTGTAATATTTCTTGACATTAAAACAGTTTTTAACAATTATATAGACTAATACCCGTAACAGAACACGCAATATAAAATAATGTCATGGATAAACAACAATGGAATCAAAACAATCCACTTTACACTACATTAAGAAAAAAATTCAATGTAAAACAATGTTGGGGAATTTCAATATCCATTATACAGGTGTTTCTCAAAAGACGAGAACATAAACAAGAACACTCATTATTAAAAAAAAAATAAGATTATAAAAAACTATATCCTATGAATGACTTCTAATTCAGTCGCACTTTTTAGTGACTTAAGTATGTAAATATAATATTTTCATGTAGGTACTAACCGAATTAAATACTCTGTGTTTATAACAATGGAATTTGTATTATTTTTGTTGTTCATTTAATATCTGTTTCAGATGTTATTATTTACTTGTTTTTGTCCCTTTTAAAACACGTCCTGCAAAAAAAGTAAGTTTGTGGGTTTGTCAATTAGAAAATTAACTGCTTGTTTATGTTGTTCGTTCTAGGCATGAATCCTAAAATATGAATATGCTGGGTTAGGAGCAAAAAACTCAATATAATATACACATAATTGGCGAATTTCGTAGTGAGCTGAAATTGGTTTGTTTATCATTTGAAGTTCGTCGAAACAAGTCTTATTTGGGAGACTTACAACCATTTTGGCGCTTTGTACTACTACATTATCCACGTTTTTATTGCTAACATTAGTAAAAAAATGTTGAGTGTTTTATTTAAAGTTCAGAGTCTTTTAACTTTTTTATGAAGATTAATTGCTGAAATTCAGAACACCCACATTACTTAAGAATATCATACTAAAATGAAAAGTACGAAATGTCCAAAAATTAATCTAATGAGTTTATTAGTTTGAAATGACCATATCAAAATTTGAGTACGGGTGAACAAACAAAGTACACGTATTAATTCGAACTAGTAACAGGTTGGTCGGTTTGTTACGTCATCTGATGTATACGTAGGAGCACACGGCAGGAGACACACATCATTTTGACAAAATAATGTATACAAAATTATATTTTACAACACAAGAGATATCTCTTAGCGATTATAATTTGACAACTAGAATGCAATATTATGCACATTAAGCGAATGTATAATATGGAAACATGAAGAAAACGGCTGGATCATTTGTGTATTTATATCTCAATTTAATTCTTCACGCACCTACGCAGTCACAACAGCTACACTGAAGTGTTCAAAATCGTAGACATTTTTACACGAAATGTTAAGTGTACTTTCAGGCATAACGTGCAGAAATCTGAAATTTAAAAGAATATCTCAAATAATACTACATATTTGTATTTTGCCTTTTTTTTTTTCTTAATGTACATAGTATGCTTTAAACAACACAATACTCAAAAACATTATTTAATTTCTTGTAAAGGAATAAGTATTTTGCACTTAAGCTTGGTTCACGGCGAATAAAATTGTCATAAAATTTTAGTAGTATGCATTTAAAGTGATTTTAGTAACATTCTCCATCCTAACTTCCTTCACTGAAAAAAATTCAGTTAGCAATAACTGCAGGTTTACATCGTACAAATAACTTGTATAAATGCATGTTTATACAAGAAAAAACTGTTTCTAACTCAAATAATAATTTACGTCGAACGTGGTTGAACTAACTAGACTCCATATCGGCAGTTTACTTTTTGCTAAGAGTGCGTAAAAGTAATTGATGTTACAATAATTATTACCATAGCAGTTAAACGTCACTAAAGTTAAAATGTATGTAGTGAAAACAACAATTAATAAAATTATGAATGTTGTGTATCTATACGATGTTCCTAAAACACATATGGAATTTGACAACAATTAGTCGAGTAGTTTCGGAGATTATCTATCTAACAAAAATTGACACAGACAACATACAGACGGAAACGGGATACAATTTTTTTTCGTACTCTAGGTGTGATGAAATGTCGAAAAACATGAAAGTAGCTAGTCGCCGATGGACCTTATTATAACACTTCCTAAGCTTATGCTTTGGAAAAAAAACTTGATGACTTTTTCAAATAAACACCCGATAGTTTTCGTAAAACCAAATATCCGACAAAGCTCACAACTTTTCTTTTACATGCATCGCTTTACCAATAACATTGTTTCTCAAAAACTGAAATAATAGTTCCACTGACACGATTTGTGTTTTCTTTTATTTAACACCGTTAAACCACTACAAACAATGCACACAAACAAACCCGTTTACAGCAGAGCTTCTACCATATAATCTTTGTAATTCAAATATCAAAACGAATCCAGTAAACTAGAAACAATTAAATAGTTTTTTTAACGAAAAAGGATTTTCTTGTGGCCTACATTTTTTTTTTTTAATAAAAATAATTTCACTTTTCGTGTAGCCATATGACAAGCATGTAACATCACACAAAATAGTATATAACAGTATATTTTCAAACTAATTATATGCCACTCAACTACCCTCACCCTTGAAGTACAACCAAACCAACTCAGTGTTTTAAAAATATATACTGATAATACCAGTCAGAGCGTAGGGAAAAAAAATTAGGATACAAAATCAAGGTCGTTTCATAAGCCATAAGTACAGGAGTGTTATTTTATAAATTTTAAGTAGCATTTACCATGCAAAATTTGAAAGTGATGTTATCAAATTGTTAGTGGCGATGATTACACCAATTTTGGTTAGCGCTTTAGTACTTTCGGAGATTATCTCCCTAATTAAAATCGACACAGATGATAGACATATGGAGCCGGGAGACTTATTTTTTCATACTCGAGAAGTCATGCAATGTCTAGAAAACTTAAAGGTAATTATTCACTGGATGGACCTTTTTACAAAACATCCTTACTTTACGTTTGCGAGGTAAATATGTCACACTTGTAAAAAGAATGACAATTTATTGTACACAAATGCTACAATTTTGATATAGTAACTACACAATCTTCACTAGGCACAGTATTATTTTGAATGTCATATTTAGAATAACTCTGCTTGCACTATTTTTGACACAGTTACCACGAAAACATAAAAAAACACTTTTAACACACAAGCCACTGGATTTTCTTGTGATAATTCATTGATCAAACTTCATATTTCTTCGACATGATTTCCTACGTCCTCGCTGTATGTTCCGCCACTGTCCGCTCGATCAAAACCAAAACACACAGCACTGACAATCGCAAATGAATCAATCACAACTCACAACCGAAAAACCTAATCAGATCACTCCAACAACCGATCATTATCCCCTTCTGCCCCCATTTCGAGCTCGAGCTGGTCGTAAAAAATAGTTTTTGCACACAATCCAAAATCAGATAACCTCATTCTCGAAACCCACCCCGACCAAAATAAATTTGATAAACGTCCAGAGCTTTGTGACGTCTCGGTTTGACACCGGCTATTGTCATTGTCAAAATTGGTGTCAATGCCCCCGATTGTCAATTTTTCTTCCATGGGGGTGCATGCAGGGGTCAACAAACTCCACGAAAACAATCGGCGAGTTGTAAAAATCAATCCGTCCTTGAAATTCGATAAGACAACACGAACGACATAACCTCCAAATATTTACACTGCGAATTAACAGCTCGAAAATGTAATCTGACGTCCGCGTTAATAAACACGCTGTCACGTTGTTTTAATTAGGGGGCTGCGGAGCGAGAACCTAACCTGTACGCGCGTGGGGGAGTCGGGGGGTTATGGGGGGGCTCGCGAAAAGCATCGCAGTAGGCCGAGTCCGGCAACAAAAGAGGCAATTGGAGGATGAAACAAATGAATAGATTTAATGACGTTTGCCGTGCTGATCGCGAATATTTACCTTGGTCCTGGTGACAATGTGTGTGGCCAGTTTGACCACGGCAAAATTGCCTTTACCGATGGTTTTTTCGAGTTCGTAGTAACCGACACGCACTAATTTTTCAACGTTTGACGATTTCGCGGACATTTTTCACTGGATTTTGTTGTCAGGTCGTCACCAAATAATATTCTACAGGCTACTAGATTTTAGTACGTTGATTCACATGTAGATCTCGCTCGGACTTTTACGTCACGTGACGTCACGAGTACATTACGCGAAGAAATTTACAGTGATAAGATCGATGCTATGGAAATTTATGGACGAGAAGTACTGGTTATCTTGGACTATTACATTGTTTAGTTCTTGGGCTCACACTGTACGAAGGCGAAAGAATAATTAGGAAATTGTTTAGATAGTGGCAACGTATATTGCAGAGGTGCACGTTGGGTTGCATAGATTTTTTTTATTATTGAATATTTATGTTTGATGACGACTGGTCTATTTTCTGTTATCGGAAAATATGGAAATGTTGAAATTTTCATATAACAGAAATACATGTGCTAAATCGAGACGTTTAATTAACACTCAGTTGTTTCCGAGAGACAGTGGCGTAGATATTTAAATTGTGATTTCAAAAATTGAAAACAGCATACAATAAACTATATAATCCTGTTTTTAAAATTCTGGTTCATTTCATCAATTTCTGTTTTTTTTGTTCTCAGGGAAAACACCGGAAAAAGTAATTTTCTGCTTGATTTTTTACTTTTCAATTTGGTACATACCTTCAAAATGATGTTAAAATGATTATTATATATAAGTTATTTATTCTAAATTAAATTAGTCACCCCAATTTTATATATAGCATCATGTTTTACAAAATAATAAAAAATTATGTTATTCTTATCATAGTATGTATGTCAAAAATTGCCATTTTTGATAGACAATATACAACCAAGAAAAAGATTTGAAAATTTATAAAACGGCACATACAACTTAGGATTTTTAGAAAACTTACTAAAAAAAAGCATGAGTAATTATTTGGAAAATATTAAATATACATACATGATTACGCCAATTATTAAAGACTACAAAAAAGTATTTTTAGCTGAAGTCTATTAAATTTTTGACGCATTTTTTCCAAAGAGGAAAATATCATGTACAGTAAAAATGACGATTAAAAATGGCTTCGAAAAAAATAAGTTGCTTTTTTATAATAAACTACGTATTTCTCCAAATATTATACATGGGTAAGTGAATCCGTTGAAGTGAATGACATTTTACGTAGGTACTTATTTACGGACGAAAAATGCCACTTTTTGTAACACTTAACATTTAATTAACGCTCTGGTGCGGTGTAGCTGTTTGGATTATTTTAGTTCTCACTTTGAGTATTATAATTATTAAAATAAAGAGTTGTTACACTTAAAAGAGTATATATTGATTTTTAATTTGTTGGAATCGCGAAGGTCAATGGAAAAATGTAATATGCACCTCGGCAAAAAACTGTCTATTATAGTCTCGCTTGCTTGTTCAAACTTCAGACTAATATAATAGGCATTTTTCGTCCTTACGGCATAAGTAAATGTTCAGTGACTATTTCGAAAATACGTAATTTATTTCAGTACATATTTAAAAAAAAAAAAAATAACAACTATGCACGGTTGTGTGAACTTTTCAATGAACGAATTAAACATATCTAAAAACAAAAAAATACTATAGAGAAAATAGATTTGAAAAAATTAAAACTCGTAGTTTGAAAAAAAAGCACAATTATAATATTAATAAACTTTATTCCCAACCGGTAATTCACCCAATAACAGGGAATAATATAAAAAACATAAGTATGTCATACAATGTACAAAATTTAGAAAAGGTACGTACAAATTAATAAACAAAAATGCTTTTAAATGGAAAATTGGACAATAATTTAGTTTGTAGATTTAAATAACTAAAAAAAATGTATAATTATGACTATGTTAAAATATTAGATAAATATTTCACAATATTAAGTAACGAGTCAGCATGTATGTCACAATTAATGCAGATAGAATTAAATAGCTCAGTCATAAGCACAATTGGAAACGTACGCATGATATTAGTTCTGCAATAGGGTGAATAGAAAGTTACTTGTTGACGAGATCTATTACGTAGAACTACATAAGCAAGTTTGGATAAAAGAAATGGACAATCTATATTGTTAGATAGTAATTTGAACGAGAATGTTATGACTAAAATATTTAAAGTTGAATCTAGTCAACAATGTATGGTCATATCCTCTTGAGGGGTACACACCTTCTATGCGAAAACATAAAAATTTCAGAAATTTTCGTTGAACTGCTTGGAGTCTGTTAATATATCGATTAAACATGGGATACCATATAATTGCCCCGTATTCAAGAGGGGATCTAACGAGTGCATAAAAAAGTTGCGTTAATGTTGTTATATTCGTGAAGTTTCGACAATTTCTATATATAAATCCAAACATCTTGTACGCTTTTTCGATGACATCAATAATGTGATTATTAAAACTAAATTTGGAGTCAAAAATTATACCTAAGTCCCTAATATTATCTTTGCGTTCTAAACGGCTACCTAGGATATGGTATGAAAACGTGACGGGTATTAGTTTCTTCGTATATGAGACCACTGAGCATTTATCTTCATTAAGAGTCAGCCTATTTTCATGGCACCATTGGACTACTATATCGATGTTGTGTTGTAGTTTTACGCAGTCTTGTGGACGAACAATGTGCTGGAATAACTTCGGATCGTCAGCAAAATAATAAATTCTTTTCACTAGTGATGCGATCAGAAAGATCGTTGACGAAGAGTAGAAAAAGAAGGGGACCTAGGTTCGAACCTTGAGGATGTCGGTGAGAAGGCCTGAGATGAGAAGTTTTGATATTTCACAAACAGTTTACGCTCGATAAGGTAGGATGAAAATAGGCGACATAACGAGTCGGAAAAACCAAAATCATGTAACTTCTTCAAAAGGATGTAATGGTCGATTTTGTCAAACGCCTTACTGAAATCAGTGTAAATGGTGTCGACTTGGTCCTGATCTTCGATGGCTTCAGCAACATATTGAGAAAATGTAGCTAAATTGGTAATTTTAGATCGTTTCTCAACAAATCCATGCTGGTGTTGGGAAATGAAACATTTAACAGACGCATAAAGTGACTAATTGGTCTGTAATCTTTGATGTTAAGAGACATCGCCTTTTTTAAATGTCAGACACACAATGGACTGCTTCCATTTCTCGGGCATTTCGCATTGTCGAAGAATGTTGTTAAATAATTTGCATAATGGTATGGCAAATACGGACGCACAGTCCTTTAATAGAAAACTAGGTATCCCATCCGGTCCAGCCGTGAAAAAATCTTTACACTTTTTTAAAGCTGACAAAACTTCAGTTTGAGAGATGGCTGTTACAGACACAAAGAGTTGAGGGATTTGATTGGAAGCTTCGATAGCACTCTACGGATCAGATTTTATGTAGACACTGCTAAAATATTTACCAAAGGCTTCCACGATGTCAGCTGGAGAAGATAATGTTTTATCTTCGATGCGCATGATGCCAGGTATACGATTGCAATTCTTCTTTTTTTGAACGAAACCCCAGAAAGATTTAGGGTCTTTGGAGATGTTCTTTTCTATACTGCTAATGTATTCTTTGTAAGAATTGGAGATTAACGCGTTACAGTGAGAACGATGCGATTTATATAAATTGTATTATAGGTAGTTTTGTGTGTCCTACTCCTACATAATCTATGCATTTTAGCCTTAATTCGCAAATTTACTATAATATCACTGTTGAACCAGGCAGGGAATTTACGGTTTGATTTAATGAGTTTCGTTTTTGGCAGTGATTCGTCAAAGATTTGAGTTAGTTTGTCGTAAAATTGTGAACAGGCTTGATCTACACTTAAGTTAGGATGTAAAAAGTCCCAATTAGTGTTGCAGATCGTTTGATATAAGCGAAAAGTTGTATGACTCGGGATTTTTGTTCATTGGAAACTGGTTTGGCAATGCGATAGGTAAGTATATAAAGTTTTGTCCATAAGCATGGATGGTGGGGATCTTCCTTAACAAGGGCTGAATCGGATGGCTCTACCTGGCAATCAGTATTAGAGAAAACCAAATCGAGAATGTTATTATGTGCATTCCGAACTTCGTTAAATTGTTAGAGACCGTAAAATTCACTGAAATTTTTTATAACGTTTACTGTTCTGTTTATTGTGTTTGAAAGTCACTTGCATTGAAATCACCCAATATCAGTACTTTATTATTACAGAGAGCTTCGATTGTGCTTAGAAGATCAAAAAAAGCTTCAAAGTCCTGCGATGACGTTTTTAGTGGGATATATATGTTAAGAACGACAAAGTAATGATGTCCAAGGTGTAGTTTAATTCCGACTATGTCAGTACTAGGCAATGCATTTTGAATAAAAGAAAGATCCAGTGAGATTGCCTTATATTTATTTCTTACACTTATGAGTACTCCACCGCCTCTAGTTACTCCCAATGAATGGATATCACGATCTTGTCTAAACACAATAAATTCAGCTGGAAAAATTTCACTATCACTGATATCCTTAATAAGCCAGGTTTCCGTAAGTGCTATAACATCATAGTCTTCCCTTTCACAAACACTATTACAAAATTGAGTAACCTTAGATCTTAAACATTTTGATGTAAGTAGTGAAGTACAGAGTTATTATTGGGTGAATTAATTAGTTTAAAATAGTGGGAATACCGTTGACATAGCGACTTTTTAAGTTTTGTTCACCATTGGCTGCAGGATCGTTGAGCTCTTGTTTCACTTTGTTATAAAATGCGATTTGCTTAGGTGTACGACCAGTAGCCAGGGAGATGTTCTTGTAATCGTTATTATTCTTAAGAGATTAGCATTGCGGAGAATTTGTAAACATCGGACTCATCATTTAGACGAACCTTGATAGGCCTTGCTCTAGTGTTTGAAGGATCTGAACGTCCTAGACGATGTACTACCAAATTATTAGACGGAGAAAAATCAGGGTACGCAGACTTAAGGATATTATCAACAATAGAATCATTATCAGATCTTTGTGTAGCCGTAAGAGTAGAGGGTTGCTCTGGTACACCGAAGATGATTAGGTTCTGTTTGCGCTTCTGTCTTTCATTGACTTCGTTGACTATTTCCTAGAGCATCAGTGGGTTAGATGAATTAAGATCTGGCTTTGGAG